TATATGTATATATTTGCATGCTATACGCAGCCATTTATTCTATTAACATATTTTTGTACTTATTAGGAGGGCCACTGGTTTATCAGTTTCACTGTCATGCGTTTACCCTCATTAATAAAGTTGATTGATTGATTGTATGTTAATTGCTGTTTAACTACATGTTTTGATCCATTTTCACCAGATTTAATTAAATGTGCTGGCAAACAACATGGCTTTACCTTGCATAAACAACACTTATCTGTACATGTTTTCATATTATGGCCCTGTTTGATTACAGTTGCTGCAGCTAACAACGTTTCTCTTGCTGACAGCCAATATCTTCCAAATGTTCAATTAGATTTCTTTTTAGATCAAGTTGTTTTAAAGAGTCCAGTCTGAAGAAATCTTTTGTGGTTTTGTCATTCAACTTTTCTAGCCCCTGCTGTGTAAATATGGAAATATTGCCATATAATTCAATAAATTCAGGTACATGCCATGTGAGAGCATTGCATGTAGAGAGTGACATGTTTCGTTTGATATAAACTTAAGAACAAATCAAGAATTTCTGCTGAACGTGTTCTTTGTTAACTTGTGTGCCAGCTGAGCTCAAAGTTTCTGTGATTTCAAGAAACCTCTTCCACAACTCTGAGATCTCGCTTTGCTTGGGGTGATTTGGTAGTAGCTCAGAATATCCATATTTCTAAATAGTTTTAACTTCTCTGGGCCAGTTAGGTCGCGCCATTTCAATTTTTTGGAACCTTTGCACACAAACCAATGAAAAGGTATTTTCAGAGTATCTTGAAGATATGACTCCCATTTGGCCGTATGGGTGTACTTGGATCTCTCAAAGCGTTAATTTTTTTTTTGTCAATGGAATCTAGTCGCCGAAACTCTAAAATCAGTAGGTTAATCAGGTTATCTGCTATTCGAAGGAAAGGTGTAGACTATCTATAACAACATGATCAAGGAAATAACGGGGGATATACATTGTACTTTTCCCTCCGGATCCTTGCTTTGACGTTTCTTGAATTTTCTTTAATTGATCGAGCTCCTTTAGAAGTGTCTGAAAGTGACCATTCTTTTGTTGCATTATATTGGTCATATAAAAGGGCATTTGCACCAAATACATGGGTGGGTTGAAATATTGCTGCACCTAGGCCACAAACACATGCAAGGAATTTCCAGTCCCCACCTAAAAACCACTCAATATCAAAATATTCATCTCCGACCTTCATACGATTAAGCAATTCCACATCTCTTCGGATATCTGACAGGGCTTCAAGAAGTTTATCATAATTTTCTTGGCTCCTTGATGATTGCAATCACATGATTCCCATCAGCTGCAATTGCCTTTGAGCCTTCATCCAAAATCGTAAATGTAATGTTCACAGCATGAAGACTTTTCCCAACATTGGTCCCATCTCCTGATAATTTTACCTGGATTATCTTATTCTGTCGAAATTTTTGGATTTTGATGGACCTCTTGATGTCTTCTATGTTGCCGTATTAATTTCTGTGTTAATGCTTTAAATTTCCTTTTGTATAGGTCAGAATTTCTTTTATTTTTGGCCAAAGCTTGTTTCAATTTCCATTCAATTTTTGCATGTCAACACATCAATATCATCTTCAAGCTTCCTTTTCACTGCATTCAACCTAACATTTTCCTGCTTTAGTCTTTCTGGCTCCAGTTAACTGTAGTAAATTTTGAAATTCCATGTGGAATATCTGCCACTTGTCTGTCTTGCTAACAGCCTTTTTACTAGACTTCCTCCTTTAGCAGCTGCCTTTGCCATTGTTTCTTGTAACCTCCATAATTTAGTTTTAAATTCACCAATTATTCTATTATTTATAATAACACCAGGAACACCACTTAAGTTGCATACTTGCTTGATTAACTCCTTCAAGGCAGATATGTTGGCCAAGCCTGGTTGGGAAGTGCTCTCAGGTTGAGAAGTGCTCTCAGGTTGGGAAGTGCTCTCAAGTTGAGAAGTGCTCTCAGGTTGGGAAGTGCTCTCAAGTTGAGAAGTGCTCTCAAGTTGAGAAGTGCTCTCAGCTTGTGATTTTTGTATTGACTTGTATAGCTCATAAAGAAGCTTGCTTTGCAGCAAGCTTCTTTATGAGCTATACAAGTCAATACAAAAAAGATGAAAAGGAAGAGTTACTGTAGGACAGAAAAGGAAGAGCTACTATAGCAGACGTATTTAACCCAAAGAGCTGCAATGCGCACTACTTATTTTTTTTACTTGTCTAACGCTAGATTTTTTTACTTGTCTAACGCCAGACGATTTTACTTCTCAATGAGGAAGCCCTGCAGCTTAATGTTAATATGTGCTAATTAGTATAGGTTCGCTATAATACTCTATTACCCCACTTAAAGGTGCACTTCATTTAAAGACGCATGCACCATTATTCGGATATAAATGCAGTGTGCCTATAGGCAGTCATATATTCACTCAGCCCGGATGCGATGCAGACAAAGCATTAATTAGGCAATGAATTTAAGATTTTAAGAATTTATTTCCATTCCCAAAGAAGTGCATGTGCCTTTGTAGGAGCATGCACCTTTATTCAGACAAGAGGGGGGAATGAAAAATGTTGAGTTACCGCATATAAGGACATGCACCGGGGTAATAGGCAGCAAAACATATAATTGATATATGTGTTTACTCAGAAAATTTTGATCTATTTACCTGTATACTGAGCACATGTCAAATACAATTAAATATATACACTATTAAATATTTGTTATGAGTTTACAACATATACGTTTCCATATTTAATATAGCAATACAATTGCCAATAATGGCTATCCAAAATTATAACAATACATAAACATTCATATACAGTAATCAGACTATGTCAAAATATTACTCTAACATTCTAACAACTAACTTCCACTATTTGACTAAACTTTACAAACTAATTTGTTGTTATTTGTTGTTACCCGGGTATAATGTGAAGTGTGGACGTGCATTTTGTCGCTCCTGAAAATTCTATAAGTTTACAAAAACCTACAATTTGTTTTAGTCTAATGCTTGAGTAATAAGTTCACTCAGCAAAACGGCCTAGTAAGTGATTTGTTTAAACTTGGTTTAAAACAAGAAAGCAATGCCTGCTGACGGCGTCAAAACTCGATCGAAGGCAAGTGATATGGCTAATGTCGAATTTCAGTCATATCTATGTTCAGACGCATTCAAGGAAGTTATCTCCAATGCTGTAAAAGAGGCTGTGGCCGCAGCCTTACCGTCAATTATTAATCCTTTGGAAGAAAGAATAGCTGCACTCGAAGCAAAAGCTGCAAAAGTCGACATTCTGGAGAAGTCAATTGCCCACCTATTGATCAAGTGCAATGATAACGAACAGTACTCTTGCTGTCAAAACGTACGTATATATGGCTTTATCGAAGAAGAGGGCGAAGATTTATTAAGAAGATAATCAATTTGTGTAAGGGCAAGATGGGTATTCAGCTTGAGGCAAGTGATATTGATAAAGCTCATCAGGTTGGTAAGCTAAGATACGATAAGCCTCGGCCCAAATTTAATGTTAGGGGAAAAATACCCGTGGTTGTCTTTCATGAGGTTTCTTCATTTCATCGATAAACGTCATTATCATGTACCTTCATACCTCTTTGTAAACTTCATGAACCATTGTACGATGCTCGTAATGTCTCGCAATGCCTCGCAATGATTTCCATAGTCCTTTAAACAGCTCTAATGTTAAAGTCAGTATGTGCTAAATGGTTTCACACTTTGTTATGCTTCTGTGCTTCTAAAAATCATGAAAATGAAATTTTGTTTTTCGTGACTCGTGAAATCGAAAAATTGCCTTCATGATTTTGTTACGAGACCCCCTGTTGTATCACAACAGAAATTGCACAACATATATTTTAAACACAGTCTCGAATATGTCTTTACTTCCATGATATAAATGCCATTGTATGTTACATTTCAATCCTTGATGACGATTCAACTACAAAGTGAACATAAACTTAATACGCAATACAAATGATCACCTAAATAACAATGTATCCTTTGCTATTAAATGGAATATGAATGTTAAAAATATTTACGATAACTATATTTCGTCCACATAAACAGTGAGTAAAATGGCAGTAAATTAAATAGATATACACAATATTCTGTAACAATTCAAGCGTGTAAATATTCTTCAAAACAAAAACGTATATAAAATTAAAACGTAAGAAACAAGAATCAGCCCGCAAATATCATTCCAATACTTCATGACAACCACATCATGTTGCAACACTTCTTGCCCCCTCTACCACATAAGCTTATTCACTCAAACTGAACTCTTTAAGCCCT